AGGAGTAGTGTGGTGTAGTAGTAGTAGTAGTAGTAGTAGCAGCAGCAGTAGTAGTAGTAGTAGTAGTACTATAGTAGTAGTAGTAGTAGTAGTAGTAGTAGTAGTAGTAGTAGTAGTGGTAGTGGTAGTCGTAGTCGTAGTCGTAGTCGTAGTCGTAGTCGTAGTCGTAGTCGTAGTCGTAGTCGTAGTCGTAGTCGTGGTGGTGGTGGTGGTGGTGGTGGTGGTCGGAGGAGGAGGAGGAGAAAGAGGAGGAGGAGGAGGAGCAGCCGGACTGCCGCTACTACTGATTACTGCTAGTGCCACTGCTTTTGCGATTCCCACTGCCACTGACACTGCTACTGCGACCACGACAGCGACAACTACTGAACTACTGCACCTGCTGTGCGACTGCTAAGCACCGGCTGTACGGTGGGAGCGTTTATCAGGGCGTTACACTTAAGCTCTGACTGCTGTTGTCTCGGTATGGACACTGGACACTGGCCTTTGTAGTAGTAGCCCGTCAGAAAGGAGATGATAATGTCGACATTCCTGATCAAAGCAGCGGCCGGCTTCGACTCTTCAACCTCAACCCTAAGCCCTCAGCCCTGAACCCTAAACCCTAAACCCTAAAACCCTAAAACTCTAAACCCCTATAAACCCCTAAACCCTAAACCCCTAAATCCCAAACCCTAAACCTCATCATCCGGAGGTAGCTTGTTGAAGGTCGACCGGATCTGACTCTTGATCGAAGTAGACAATGGACCCCTCGTGAAATTTTACACTTCTCGAACATGTGCATAGGTTGATGCCTTTTGTTAATTCTGTTGGTGATCCTTCTAAACTACGGTGGTTTCTGGAATTTTGCACTAAGGGATTAGGGTTGTAAAGGTTTTGTGGCTTTGGGCTTCGGGTAGCGGCTTTTACCCAAATCCTATGTAACCCTAGGATCATGATCCAACTCTCCTGACCACCCAGCCCTGTGCCATCTTTGCTGCCCCAGCTTCCAGTAAACCAGTGTCAACCACAGCATGACCTTGGCAATCCAGAATCTGGGGTTGGTCTAGGGTCTATAGGGTTTATGATATGTTGGGTGTTCAGACTCAGTTTTCTGGTGTGGGAAAATGGCGAGAATGAAGCTGCAGCTCTCTGTGCCGCGTGCCCACACTTCACGCTGACGATCTATCACTTCTCCCAGCCTGGACGGCTCAGGACTACGAATGTGGCCGAAGCCGTGATCTAAGGGCCCGAATCATTAGTAGCACTACTCCTCCAAATTCCCTCACTTCATTTCATTTTGCACAATAACGAACCCAAAACCTATTCTAATGATTAAGGCCCCTCTACGACACCCTTGCAGTCATGCGTTGACCAAAGTGAAGCATTGAAAAGAAGTCCTGGTCTAATTTTGACCGAGGACTAAGGCCGCTAAACCCCAAATCCTAAATCCTAAAGCCCCTAAAAATTCCTAAAAACCCTCAAAATCCTAAACCCTAAACACCCTAAACCCTAAAAATTCCTAAAAACCCTCGAAATCCTAAACCCTAAACACCCTAAACCCTAAAAATTCCTAAAAACCCTCAAAATCCTAAACCCTAAAAACCCTAAACCCCATCGTTTCGAAGGAGCCTCACCTCGAACCCTGGAAGCAGGGGCCTGCCAACAGCATTCTTTCAGCATCATATAAGGGCCAAAGAAATGAGACTAGGGTTTAGGGTTCAGGGTTCAGGGTTTAGGGTTCAGGGTTTAGGGTTTAGGGTTTAGGGTTTGGCATTCTTTCAGCATAATAAAACGGCCGAAGAAATGAGACTAGGGTTCCACTTAGGGCCTGCTTTAACGGGTTCTTTATATCGCTTGCTACATGGGGTATCATGGCGGGGGTTAGTATAGAGGGCATCATAATTGGAATATGGTTTGGAAGAAAACTTATACATATACATATATGTAGGTATAACTATAGTATCAAGGAGCCTTACGGAATAGTATTGGCAATTGCTCAAGTCCCCTGTAGTACTCTTCGTCGTGTTGCCTCCTTTTTGCTCAACCACGCGGTACTGACAATACTGCGCCCGACGAAGACGACGACGACGACTGCCGCACTCGCGCGACAGTCACTACCACTAGACGACCGCAAAATCGACATAAGCTGATGAACTGGGCACAAAGCCCTGCAGTCACAATGACGAGTCTGCTCATACTGCAACTACGCCAGTACTTGCAAAATTGTGTTGCTAACATTGCTACCTGTACTGTTGCTACTGCTGCTGGTAGCTGGTATGACTCATTGTTGCCGCTGTATGGAGCAAAGGAAACATCTTAAACTCACCTGAAAGAGAATCCCACCCTCCCAGTGCTTTTGTCATCCCTCGGCCGAAAATCTAGATGGCGAGACCGAAGGCTTGACATCGATACATAAGTTAATAAGGCTCAATAACCGAATAGCCCTGCACCCTAGTCCCCAAATCCCTTATATATTACATGAACACTGACCCCCGAACTCCAACCCCTTAACCCCGGTAGCGTCAACGCCTCCTGATTCCTGATCTCAACCGTGCCACATCGGAGAATGCTGATCGGGGTATGTCGAAGAAACGCAGAGGAATGATGACCTCAACTCGCGAAGTACTGACTAGTGGATCGGGGAACGTGGGCACAAGGAGAGGCGGTTCGGGGGTGTATAGCGGGTACGGGTAAAGGGCCCAGGTTTCTAGGCGTGTGGACGGCTTTGGGCTTCGCAGTCGTCACTTCACCAGATTCAACATAGTAGCTCCTCTCCTCATTGCTGTTGCCCGATCTCGGGATAAGACATGGTTGTCCTTTACCCGCTTCTCAACAACAAACATTACAACAAAAGGACAATCATACCATTTGGCCTCGAAGGAGTAGATCTGGGAGTAGGCGCACAACAGCAGCAGCAGCTGCTGCTAGTTCAGCTGCTTGCTGCTGCTGCGGCTCCTAGTACTACCATTACGACGACTAACTACTACTACTACTACTACTACTACCACCACTACTACCACTACTAGTACTACTACTACTACTACTACTACTACCACCACCACCACTACTACCACTACTAATACTACTACTACTACTACTACTACTACTACTACCACCGCTGCTGCTGCTGCTACTACTACAACTACTTCTTCTTCTTCTCTCACCACCACCGCTAAATAACAACAACTACTGCCACTACGACCACCGCCACAACCACCACAACCAGCGCCGCCACCTACTACCGGCTTTACTACCACTGCGATTATTCGGTTGTTCGAACGGCCTAATCATGCTACCTCTATGGCACTTTTTCCGCTACCCCTAGAAACCCTAGGAAGACACGATCCCTTTAAACCTGGAAGCCTAGAATCGCAAAGCCCGATGACTGCGGCGAGCGGCCACGTCCCAGGTGAGGAACCTCACAGGCCATTAATTAACGAGACCATCAGGAAATGAACAGTGAACAGTTGTGCGATGGGCTCTACATGTTTTGAATTTTAGAGGGTCCTATGGAGTTTTTGCAGGGTATAGGAGAGATGCCTCAATAACTCGAGTCGGCTCCGTTTGTTCGGATCGCTGTGGTCGACGGGTGGGTATTTACTAATGTATGGTGCTTAGGAGTACGTGTCGTTTCCGGGCTCAACAGCACTGAGACAACTGCATCCGATGGTGCACGGCGGCCTGTTCCATTGCAGAACCGCCTTTGAGTCGCGGCTCATCGGCACATAGGGGCCTCCCTAAACCCTAAACCCTAAACCCTAAACCGATCTAAAACTCTCAGGTCCCATCCAACAACCCGCAGGGCAAATACACCCATGTCCAAGAAACCGCCATCTAGCCTAAATCCAAAAAAAAATCCTTCGTTACTTGATCTTTCCCCGAAATCGGCAGTTTCACAAACCAGGGGACCGTAATTATAGTGTATAAACCCCAAATGGTTCGGTCCTTATCGCGACCCTAAACCCTAAACCTTAAACCCCAAAGCCCTAAACCTCCAATCCACAAACCACAAGACCTGAACCCTGCAACCTCCAGACACAAAAACCCTAAACCTTGAATGCCAACATCTACTGACCTGAAACCAACCTTCGGATAAACGGAAACGTACCCGTGCGTGGGTGATACTACTAATATAGGGGCCTTAATAATTCCCTTTCTGTTTTGGGGGTTCCTTATTATACTTATAGTATGATGTACCCCAAAACCCTATTCTTTTTACTAAGGCTTCTGTTTTCATCATCCAGGTGTCTATGTTATGATTTAAAGCCACGGCAAATGAGGTTTGTGCAGTTCAGTCTTGTGGCGTCGTTGATATCATTTTGGTCAGGGTGGCGGTGGTGATGAGTAAGGCCTCGTTCGTCATTTGTAGGCATGCGGCTAGTTCTCTAAATTAGGGTCCCTTTATAGGTTCCCAATATAGTACGGCACGCTTGTATCAAGGACCCTGAAAGGGACACTAAGTTCAAGAATTACCCATATAGAACCTTGATGAAAACCCTTATAGAAACCCTCATGGCCTTATAGATCCCACTAAGGAACCCTAAAACGGGACCCTACTTTAGAGAATATACCCATGTGGCTAACTGGATATATCCCGGCTTCATGGCCAATCTCCAGAGATGTTGATCTTGTTCACTGTTTAGGGTTTAGGGTTTTAGGGTCCGCGCAGACTGGCCCAACACTAATAACTTGAACCCCTGAATCCTCAATCCAAAGGCCCAACCACCCTATGAGCCTAAACTCTGAACCCTAACCTTAAACCCAAAACCCTTATCAACCCCTGAACCCTTAAGCCACAGGCTCAAAACAGGCTCAAAGGCCCAAAGAGCCTAATGCAGGGACCCTAATAGTTGGAATAGGGTTTTGGGGCATATTACATTATAAATGTAATAAGGGACCCCCAAATAATGTAGGTAATTATGAAAGCCCCTGTATTAAACTCTGAACCCTAACCTTCAACCCAAAACCCTAAAATCACCAATCCGTAACCCACAGGCTCCCTAACCCCTAAGCCGTAAACCCTAAACCCTAAACCATAAGAGCCTCAACCCTAAACCCTAATCCTAAAAACCTTAAACCTTAAACCAGAAGAGCCTAAACTCTGAACCCAAACCCCCTAAACCATAAACCCTAAACCATAAGAGCCTGAACTCTGAACGCTGGCCAGGAAGCAGCATCCCGAACAAGCTCCAAACAGACCGGAAGCGGCCGTTCGGATGAATCAGGAAATGCTCCACACCTCTGGGTTTAGACAATTGGCAGCTATGAAAGCACGACGCTTCGCCTCCAAACTCGAAACCATAGTAGTTCTTTAGTGTCTATGTCTTTCTTCTTACCAAAAATGTATTTAAATACGTTTTCATGACCCTGGGATACAACGACCTGAATCTCTTTGGTTCTGGAGTTTGAGTCTGAGGGTCTATGGTTTAGGGCTGCCGGACTTCAGGATTCAGGGGTTCAGGATGTAGGGTTTAGGGTTTAGGGTTTAGGGGTTCAGGATGTAGGGTTTAGGATTTAGGGTTTAGGGTTTAGGGTTTAGGGATTTAGGGTGTAGGGTTTAGGGTTTAGGGGTTTTAGGGTTTTAGGATTCAGTGGGGCCTCAGGAGTTCAGGGTTTATAGCCCACCTAAGCC